GGGATTTGTTTGCTTTGAGTTTATTAGTGGTGATAACCACCTGACCACCCAGTCCATAAGGTCGTCTCTTAGAGCAAGCAGTTGGTGCTTTGGATAAATTCCATCTGGCAATCCTCGCGTTTTTTGACGGAAATTATTTTGGGATGCATTTCTAGCTAAGAACCCAGGGGTTATTACCCTCATTGTAAAAATCACATTTATGGCTGAGAAATCATCATTTAGTTAGCTCGAGTGTGAAAAACAGCAATATATATCAATCCTACATGCAACAATTTTCGACAGTTCAAACTTCAGTAGTCTGCAAACACCAGAGCAAATTCGTAAAGTAATTCTGTTCTTGCAGCTGTGAAGAAGGGGCTGACTCATTGTTTGGATTTCTCAATGACTGACATGGATTCCTCAGAGGACAATGTAAAGATAACCAAGATCAGCTCGACTCTCGTCTCTTCACGAAAAATTGTTTATCAATCACGCTCAGTGCAATCAGAAGGGTGGAAGTGGACACTTTAGTCCTTTTTGGCTGGCTCGAATGCTAAGAAACCGGAAGCAACAGACAACAATTCAAAGTTATATTATTTGTCACGTGGGTTTGACGTGCGATGTTATGGATGGCAAACTAACTCACTTCGCATAGCCACCAAGCTCTGTTCAGGCAAGTTTTGAGGTTATTTGCGGCTTTTGAAAATGACGATTTGGTCGCTACTGATCACTACCGGACAGAAGGAAGCATGGACCCCATGGACAATGACTGGACATGGAGGACACAGATAACCCAGACTGCCTGACCCCAACCACAGCACAGCACCAGTGGACACACAGGAAGGACAACACAAAGAAAGACACATGGCCGGATGGAACCCCGACCCAGTGAGCACAGGAAAACGGACACAGCACGAACCCACGTGGCCCACACTGAGAATATGGACCGAGCAGACTGAGCCACAAATGGAAGGGTGGAGCCACAGTATGGACGCACACACGGATGACCAAATGGATATGTCATGCAAAGTGTATCAAACTGTACAGAGAACCCAGCGCCCTGTGAGATAGATGTTTGCAGATTGAAGAAATCCATCGATCGGATGTCTCTTTACAATTGTTTAGAAATTGGCGTTTGTATCCATTTTAACACCAATAATTATAACCACCTGTATTAAGGATTGCAAATTACATTTATTAATTGCTGTAGATATTTCAGCCGATGCCAATCACTACCGATGCCTTCCACATTATCACTGGATGATGTACCTGTCCACTGTGTGTGTACATTATTATATTTATATTCAGATATTAAAATTATATGTTTTTATGGGTGTTTGTCTTGATATTGTGATATTGTGCAGAGATCACTAAAGCTGTTTGTCAGGACACGCTGATCTGACTGATAATGAAAGAATATAATGAAAATCGATGTCGTTTTTATTATTTTGACGAAAGAATTACTGTTTCCTCTGATTTATTGTGTCAGACAAAACGTTGGGAGTCGTATTTTATCCTGTGAGTCCATAGACTCTTTCATAAGATGCAGTTTGTGTTTGTGTTTGGATCAATAGTCGTAGTTTGGTTCATTTTTGCTTGGGATGGTCAGTAGTATACTCGATTGGGCAGCGAAACAGGAAAAGAGAAACGAAACACCAAAACCTTTCACGGAAAACTCGGTTAATTATTGTGATCTTGAAAAGGCCAGTCGGTCCACAGGGGCTTGTAACTCTAAAAATTGCCATCAAGGTATGTAGTGTGACTAACGGGGTCTTATCACTATATAAACGGAAAGACCCCGTTAGTGACACTACATACCTTGAGGGCAGTTTTAGAGGTACAAGCCCCTGTGAGTCGGTCAATATGATGCTTCGTGTTAACAAAGCTTGTGGTCTGTGTGATGGGGGTGGTGCTGATTAGACCAAAAGGGCCTGTTGAAGCGCACGTAAAATATGTCTGGTGGGGGATTTGTCATGATTGTACCTACGAACCTTGCAATCAATTAGAATGACGCGGCCCTCGCCACCACTACACAGGCAAGTCTGTATGCTGCCCGTTTTGAAAAATAAATATCAACGTGAGTGAATGAGTTGGTTTTAACCGGCAACGGTAGATAGTCCAGTGTTCCAATTTCGTCAGGCGTGTCGGTTTTGTAATGGACGAAAGCCTAAGTAAAGCACGTCGTTTACCCCTTTGGTGACGCCCACGATAAAGGACATAGTGCTGACAACCATGAACGGATCGATTCTAGATTTGAAACTACGCTCATAAATTTCTGATGTTCCTAAGGGACGTAACTCTGCACAGACTGGTAACCTGCCATTCGCCTCTGAGCGGCAGCACTTGTAATTCGGGGGGAGGAGCGCAAACGCTCTGGGAAGACAAACCAGTCTACAAATTGCGACTGGGCCACCCAACCGTACCCTGTATGTTCACAGAAGGGTCTGACACAGGAGGGTTTACAAAGGTCATTTTGGGGTTGCATTATATAATTAGAGGTATCAATTACTGTCCACCGAAAGCCAGGCTCCAATCGTCACATGGAAATAGTATGTGAGGTTATTCTTTTCCTAGTGTCACTGTAGTTTCGGTACTGATTCAGTGAGTACTTCCGAACTTGCCCCCATGTGTTGTGTGTGTATTGGTTTACTCCGCTTTGAGCGCTATTTTACAGGGGCGGTGGGGTAGTCTAGTGGTTAATGCGTTCGCTAGTCACACCGAAGACCCGGGTTCGATTCCCCACATGGGTACAATGTGTGAAGCCCATTTCTAGAGTCACCCGCTGTGATATTGCTGAAATATTGCTAAAACGGCGTAAAACCATACTCACTCACTCACTCACTCACCCAAATCATGCTGACTAGAGAAAACCCCAACTAAAACCAACACTGGACGACGTGGCCACACACGAGTGAGCACGTGAATGTTGTTTAATACGGTATTCAAATTTATTCCAGCTTTATTACGACAGGCTGTAAATAGTATGGGTCACCCAATTTTTTGTGTGTGTGTCCAGTGTGTGTGTGTGTGTGTGTGTGCGTTGGCGGTAACATGTGTGAAGTTACAGACACACACCCTCTCGAGCAATGAGTGAGTTGGTGGGTTGGATTTTTTCCGCAGCTGAAGCAGATCGGGGAGTTGGTGGGTTGGATGAGCAGTTGTGATGGTTGTGTGAATTTGACGTAGTTTTGTGACGTCTTTGGACAGGACTGCAGTTATACCACAATGGTTTTTTGTGTATTTATTTATTTGTGTGTGTGTGTGTGTGTGTGTGTGTTGTTTGTTGTTTAACGCTGCACTCAGCATATGCAGCTATATAACATCCGTCGAGTGACTGACAGCATGAGCATCTGTCTCCACAATCGGGATACAATGACTCGCACCAACCAAGCCAGCGAGCCTGATCACCCGATCCCGTTAGTCGCCCTTAACGACACGGTTGCAGATCGTATCTTACCCGGATCTTCATGGATGGTGTATATGATAGGCCAGTGCGAGCAACGTATGCAGCAAAGGCCACCAGTTCTGTTGGTTGCTTATAACATAGTCGCGTTGTTCTGTTTAGTTTGATTGTTGTTTAACTCCGCCGTCAGCAATATTCCAGCTATATAGCGGCGGTCTGTAAATAATCGAGTCTGGACTGAGCGTTGTTTTGTATATAGGGACTAAAGACTCTGCGGCATAGTAGGCTTCAAGAAGCTGAGATAAGATGGATTCCCATGAGCCTATGGTAGTCGGAGGCGAGTTAACAGATGGTAAGACTTGGTGACTTGGCTGATCCACGTTATCGTACCCTAAGGATCGAGCTTTTGGTCATGATGTCAGTCATTGGATTGCCTGGTCCAGTTTGATTATTCACAGACAAGCGTAACATAGCTGTAATATCCTGAGTGTGGCCACAAATATAAAAAATGCAAAGTTTCTGAAGGTTTTATTGATTTTAAGGGTTTTCAGTGCGCTTACTTTCTGGATTATACTTAATAGAAACAATACCCTTGACTGACTGAGTGAGTTTGCTTTTACGCCGCTTTTAGCAATATTCCAGCAACATCACGGCGGGGGACACCAGAAATGGGCTTCACACAATTGTACCCATGTGGGGATTCGAACCCGGGTCTTCGGCGTGACGAGCCAACGCTTTAACCACAATACCCTTGAAGATCCGGGTTGTCGTAAGAGGCGACTGAAGGGATTGGGTGGTCAGGCTCGCTGACTTGGTTGCCACATATAATTGTATCCCAATTGCGTAGATCGATGCTCATGCTGTTGATTACTGGATTGTCTGGTCTAGACTCGATTATTTACAGACCGCCGCCATATAGCTGGAATATTGCTGAGTGCGGCGTAAAACTAAACTCACTCACTGATAGAAACAAACAATTCCTTTAAACTGCAAAGGAGCCCCGATGAGAAAGGACATTCAGAATCTTTTGAAATCTAGACTGCTTCATTTAGGACTTCAGCATTGCAGAAAGGGCTGGGCAGCAGGGAAAATATGTAGCTCAGGGACTGCGAGACAGACTAGACGCCCGTATCAAGCGCTGTTTATCTCTAGAACAATAAAATCAACATCGCTTTGTTACAGGAACTTTGATCACACACAACAACCAATACGCATCGTGTTACCCATTAACTTCAGCAAATCAATTCCGTAAGACATAAATACATTCAGCGAGAGATTTCAGGTCGCTGTCTTCAATTTGTAAAGCGTAATTACTAGTGTTTATGACCATTTTGTGCAATTTACCACATACAAACGATTTAAATTTTCTTCATCGGCCAGGCTAGTTTAAACCCGTCAAATCAATATGTTATCTTTAATAAATCATTGTCAGTGTGAATAGAGGTTGAAAATCAACAAAATCAATCTGATTTAAAAAGAGGAAAAAGAGCTCCCTCAAGTATTGTCCTCCATTATTTAAACACAGCGTGTGCTGTGTACAGCACTTCCACGGGAGCCGGGCTGGTGTGATTGGTCAGCCTCCTCTCAGTAGTTAAGATTGTCTGTGATCTGTGATAGCTCTGTGATTGTTAAGCTCCTTTCCCCTTGGCTGTAGACTGCGCCAGTACATAGCGTGTTCATCTACTGTGTTGCTGCCTTCAGTGCTGGAAGACCGCGTAAACACCTCAATTTTTAATTCGATTATTCTCTCGGCATGTAAAGGCCAGGGACGGAACGGATTTGATGTCTCATAGCCTCTTCTTTAAGAAACTTGCACGTTCGGTGGGAGCCCCCGAGCTGGCTAATCATGTTTCTGTTTGGCAAATTGTGGAGCTTTGAAACAAGACTATTGGGGAAATGGCAATATTGGCTTTAAGGTGATCATTATGGGAAATAGATGCGCTGGAGCTGTCAATAAAACGTGTAAAAATGTGCTTCTATTGATGAGGATTCCGATTCGTGCGTGTTTGTGATAATTAATTGGAACTGGCACAAAAGTACTTGCATTATTTATAGTACAACACCCCGGCAAGGGAGCCCTGATTCTCCACTATCAGTTGGATGTATTACAGACGGGTTTATCACATTCGGTGGAGATGCTAGACTGTTTACGATCTCTTTTCGTAATGTTAGTTACGTGTGTTTTTGTGTTAGTTTCTATCGGCGGAAGTGCTGTGTCGGCCATCTTTGATAAGAACGGATGTGCCTATACTTTCAGCGTTTGGCACCCGGATGAGGATATACTACGACAGGTGAAGGATTTACAGGTGCAATTTTCGAACTTCACAAATTACGCCGAAGCGCAGGTTTCACGGATTCAACGAAATGTGATCCACGAGATGAGAAAGTACGACAATTCTACGTCGCATCTGGAATCTGAACTCCTGCAGATGAAACTGGACGACATGCAAGCCAAGATGAAACACAACCATCTATCGGCGGAGGTAAATATTATGAGAAGGGATATGGAGGACATTAATCGCAAAGTTGACGATCTTGAGATGGATTATTTTAGCTTAAAAGCTCGTGGTCGGGAACCGAGAAACGATTCTGTGAGGAAGGGCCATCGATCAATGAGTAAAGATTTTATTGGCATGATGAAAAACAGTGTTGGTGACCTCAAGGCAGAATGGTTGTTGATGAAACGGGAGATGGACGACATCAGAGGGGAAAATTTGCAGTTGAAACATGGACAGAACAACTTGAAAAACGATACCTCGTCCTTACGGCAAGTGATGCGATCTTTATCTGGAGAGATCCAGGCTGTAGAGGGTCGGGACTGGAGGGTCCCACAAAGCTCACAGCAGGTCCAAAGTGAGATGTCTGGTCTTAAGAGGGACCTGAAACGAATTAAAGACGAACAAAGTGATATTAAATCTGAATCGACTGAAATGAGGAACGAAATAGCAACTTTACATACTAGTAACATCCGGGTACTAAAGGATCTTCACGAGCTGCAGCTCGATGGTACGAGATTCCGCGAGAAACTCGAGTCCCTGAGACGAGAGGAGAGACGTGGAGGAGAGACCGAAGTTACCCGAGAAAGACTGGAATCCAACCTCCCCAGCACTGACGATGTAGTCCCAAGAGGTAATTATTACTGCCCCAGATACCTCCCTGCATCTTAGTAGCACTGTAGTCGTAGAAATCTTCCCGTACGTCTTTTTGTATACTATGTCATTGAAGAGAATAACAGGGAAAAGTTGGTGGTAGACAAGTTAGTTTTCACTGTTAGTTTTCACCGTGGTTCGACATTGACCCCACTGAAAATCAAAGTGTACCCCCTACAGCATGAAAATTAATTCTGTCTGTCTGTCTGTCTGTTCTGTTCTGTCTGTCTGTTCTCTCTGTCTGTCGGTCTGTCGGTCTGCCGGTCTGTCTGTTTCTAAATACTAATTACTGTTGCATCTGATTCAGTAAATCCTTGCATTACCATCAAATTATACATTACAACAGAACATACATCTTTGGGAGGATTAGCCATTATTGAGTGCCATTTACGTCGCCTTCAGCTCTATTCGTGCCACTGTACCCTAACGGGCCCTGCACATTGTTCACCGAACACCACGCCCACCCTACACTGACCACTAACATATAACCATGACAAAGACAGGGAATGGAACCATGGTCATTTACATTCCCGCGGACGATTTAAGTTTAAAGTAGTCAGACTTCTCTTCCTAGGTCCATTTATTCGCGTGTCAAGTCACAGGGCGTCCAGTCATACATTCGTCTGTGCAGAGTTGCGTCCCTTTGACAATCCAGAAAGCTATGATCATGAGTTCGAATCCCGGTTTGCTCCCATTATGGTTTGTGGGCTTCTCGTGGGTTTCACAAAGGTGTTAAACGTCTGAAACCTGCGCCACGTCGGCCCTCAACCCACATTAAGCCGCCACGCCATGATACAACTGGATTACTGCTTAAAACGACGCGAAACCCAAATTACTGATGCACTCACTAATAAAGGAACACAATGTATTTGGATTTTATAACTGAAAGCTGAATAAGCCCTGGGTTTGAACACAAACCGCGTTCAAATTTCAACAACAATGATAAATCCCAGTTAATATTTTAAAAGGAATGTAAGTCAGGTAGGTAAAGTAGGGCGTACGACTAAAGCCAGTTGATTGTAACGTGACACCAGGCACTATACTGTCTCACGAACAACCTTTACAACATCGATCCTTCTCTTCATTATTGTGTCAGGACGGAGTGAGATCCATTAAAGGAACATATATATTCTGGACTGGCTCGGAGCCGTGTAAGATCATTTTGTTGGAGTTACAAGTACTGCTAATCTTTGTAACCAGACCGGTGGTAGAATATAGAATATAGTGTTTGACTGTCATGCCTGACTCGGGTTCGAATCCCGAATCCTGGGACAACTATACTACCCATCAAAGTTTAGACTCACTAGTGTAAATGTAGCCACTTTCTTCAGTCTACTGTTGTATACTAAATTTTGCAAAATATTCCATTCTGTTTAAAGGTATTGTTTACACATGAACTGATGTATTGTAAAACAAATTCGTAACGTTGAAAAGTTTATTGTCATGAGTTCAATAAATGATGAAACTCAGTGAAAATTGGTGAATTCTTAACATAACTTTACACCAAAACGCAGCTGTCTACATGCACGATATTTGCACATGCTTTTCTGCAATTTGATGCATGATCCTCGTGCAATTTATCTGCATAAGGTTTGCAGTTGGTTCCCCAAGTTAGTGGAGAAATTCATCTTCGATGTAACCTCATATATATACATAACCTTTGATGGGTAGTATATAGTGAGTGCTTTAAGTGAGTGTAAACTTTTGATGGATAGTATATTATCCATGCATCAATGTTAGGGTTGGCGGTTAGATGCGGTGCTTAGGACACTGTGGGTGGACAGGATGTGGATGTGTGGTAGTGGACACTGTGGGTGGACAGGATGTGGATGTGTGGTAGTGGACACTGTGGGTGGACAGGATGTGGATGTGTGCTAGTGGACAGTGTGGGAATGCAGATCAAACAGTTGGAAATGTCACGTTATGATTGTGGACTGGGTGTGAATATGAGTGAGAGAGATGTGCGTAGCGCACGCGGACAGGATGCGGATGTGTGTGTGTGTGGACAGGATGTGAGAGAGTGTTGGGATGTGTTATGGTTGTGTGTGTGTGTGTGTGTGTGTGTATGTGTGCGCGCGCGCGCGTGTGTGTGTGTGTAGTGTACACTTGCAGTGTGTTAGTGGCGAGTGTTGGGGGTACGTGTTATGGTTGTGGACTGTAAGGTCTGTGTGTGTATGTGTGGAAGGAGAGTGTTGGAATGTCGCGTGATTGTAAACTGTGCGTGCGTGCGTGCGTGCGTGCGTGCGTGCGTGCGTGTGTGTGTGTGTTGGAAGTGTTGTGATGTCGATATGTGAAGTGAAGTAGGTGTGTGTGTATATATCTAATAGTCGGCAGTGTGTGTGTGTAGTGGAAGCGTTGTGATGTCGATATGCGTCAGTGAACTCTGTGTGTGTGTGTGTGTGTGTATCTGATAGTCGGCAGTGTGTGTGTATGCGCTAGTCGGGAGTGTAGGTACACGTATGTGTGTGAAGCGGACAGCGTGTGTCTACCTACGTGTGTAAATATACTTACGTCAGTGTACTTGTCGTTTGCACGTGTTTACACATGTGTGTACATTTACATCAGGAAGACATTTGTACCATGTCCGGAGGAGATTCAAACGAAAATTTACACTGAATAATATCTAATTAATATGTCTTTCCATTTGGCAACAGGGAACAAATTAACAATACACGTATTCTGTATTCTGAAGTTGACGCTGTTTAATATGCAGCAATATCAACATTTATGTGGACATTCAGAGCTGGGCGGGGGAGACAGGGAGTTGACATATGTACATTTCAAACGTATGTTGTTTCTTTGCGAAGACTTCTGTAAGGTAACTCTTCTCCAAGGCTCCAGATAAAGGCCATATCGGCGTATGTACGGCTAAAAAATATTGCACGATACGATAGGAAATAATTTAGGAAACGTAGCAGATACGCACCACAGCAATGGTGTACGGTCTTAGAATCATTTACAGACGTATTTATCTGAAAAAGTATTGTTTTATTGTTTATTGACCTGTTTACACAAGACTAGCAATGTTGTGGTGCATATATGAAACCAAACACAAGATTACTGATACGCCATTAAATTCCATTCAGTACTCTAAATGTACTCTTAAGTTTTTCCAGTACTCCTGTATTGACAAAATAAGGAGTACGTACTCCTGATGTTGAAAAGTTATCTGGAGCCCTGACTTCTCAATAGATTTGTATTGGAAATCGAGAGTTTCATGTTGAAAGTCGTGAACGAACTAATGATAATGTGTTCCTTGCACTATTTACATACCTTAGATACACAACTTAGTTAATGTTTAAGTGAAGCATGGTAAAGTTATGTATACACATTACATACTGATATATGTGCAACATAATTTACTTATGTAAGTGAACACTGTGTGGTTGTGGAGGTGTGCAAGTGAACATAGTCTGTCTCACAGTCCCTGAACCACAGTATTTTCCCTACTGCCAAGCTCTCTCTGCAGTGCTAAAGCCCTAAATAAAGCAAGTCTGGATTTCCTCAGGTTCAGAATCTCTTGTCTCCTTTTCAATTTAAATGGGCTTGTTTGTTATTATCAAAATTATATATATTCAGAGATTAAGATTAGTCTAAAGTCAACACAGTGGGTTGTGTATGTGGGTGGGTGGGAGATGTGTTTTGACAGTGAGTTTGGAGACTGTGTGGGTGTGGACTGTGTGAGGGAGGAGGTTCCCACAGGTTTGGGTTCCCAGAATGGGGTGAGAATATGAAGATATGACCGTTGTCCGTGAGTTCGGAGACTGTGTGGGTGTGGACTGTTTGAGGGAGGAGGTTCCCACAGGTTTTCATTCCCAGAATGGGATAAGAATATAAAAATATGAACGTTGTCGGAGACTTGAATATAGGTGTAAGACAATGTTGTGCATGGTGTAAAATGGTGTCCAATCTATCACCCCCAGGAATAAACACCAATCACACATGCCTCCAACTGTCTGGCTGGTTTAAGATTTTAGACATGTAAAGTTCCTCCACGATGCTGCTAATCGGTGCTAGATGTACACAATCATCACGTGACGTTAACATCTTAAACACAGTGCGGACGTTATCTGAATAAAGGATAGGCATGTTTCCCATTGTTACTTGCCTTCTTGATGAACGCGTCCACACCTACTGACATAAATATTTAATGACCATCCTCCGTCTAACGTATGTTGTCAGACAAAACAACGGGCATTATGCTGTTTCTTAGAATTGTTTTCGATAGGTCATCAATATCATCGTAGATTTGAGTATTGGAGGTTGGTACTTTTATACGTGTTCTCGGTAAATATGTTGTTTACGAGGAGTCTAAAATATGCCAGATATTATTAATCTATTGAGTGTTTTTCTAAATGTGAATGATTACTAATATCCGTCATGGGAGAAGAGGCCATGTTAGCTAGGGCACGCATTTCGTTATTTTCGGGCGTGTCAGTCAGGGGTGATGGGTAGCCTAGTGGTTAAAGTGTTCGCGGCTCGTCACGCCGAAGACCGGGTTCGATTCCCCACATGGGTACAATGTGTGAAGCCCATTTCTGGTGTTCCTCGCTGTGATACTGCTGGAATATTTCTAAAAGCAGCGTAAAACTAAACTCACTCACTCAGGCGTGTCAGAATCCCAGTCTTACCCTGACTGTATTTCTAGGTTTGCCAGCATTATATCCGGGCTCATGGCTGTCACTAACGTGGTTTCACCAGTCCGGCATCACTTCATTCTTACCTTCCACTTCAAGATGTCATGCCGTGATATAACTTGAATACTTCTCCAAGTGGCATTGGGGCGGTAGGGTAGCCTGATGGTTAAAGCGTTAGCTCGTCACGCCGAAGACCTGGGTTCGATTCCCCACATGGGTACAATGTGTGAAGCTCATTTCTGGTGTCCCCCGCCGTGATATTGCAAAAAGCGGCGTAAAACCAAACTCACTCACTCCAAGTGGCATTACACCAATCCCACCTACCCCAGCTTCATACATCGAT